TCTTGATTTCTGCCTCCAGCCACAAGAACTTTTGCAGCTGTAGTGGTTTTAAGATTTAGCAGTTCAGGGAAGATGATTAGTAAGTAACGGAGAATGATTTTATTTTTTTTTAAGGTGATTTCTTTGGAAATTAAAACACTGAATGTACTTACTAGCATTACAAAGGCTTTACCTGGGTGTCTAGACCTTCAATTCCTCTCTCCTATTTTAGTTCAGTGGAAAAAGTTTATTTAGAAAGGAATGGTGGTGCATTTATTGTCATCAACAGCATTACTCAACTGAGTTATGGAGAAAAAAGTATTCATGAATAATGTTGTATTTGACTGTTTTTTTGTTTTGTTTTGTTTTGTTTTTTTTCTCTTGGGTTCTGGTGACTACTTTTCAAAGTCTGTTACTTTTTCAAAAGGTAAGTGTTCTTTTCCTTTTAAAGGATTGCTGTCTTACTCTGACATGTACAAAAAGATTAACTCAACAAAACAAATACACTTTCTATCTGTATTTCATCCCTAAAAGAATCAACTAAACAGAAAAAGAATCAACTTGCACTGAGTGGCAGTGATCTAGTATATATCAAGGAGTTTGGTTCACTTAACTGGTGCACAGAGGTGCAAAAGTTATTACGGAAGCATAATTACCAACCTCTGGAGTCTTTTCCAGAAGAACATAGCATGAAAGAAGCCCAAAGTCTGGACAGTGCCCTTATTCTGGGGCTTTCCACCCCTACAGACTTTGAAGTGAGACAAAGCCTCAGTGGTTTTAAGAAGCTTATCCTGTGGTCAAAGATAAAGGCTTATTAACAGCTGCTAATCTCTATTCTAGATCTCTTATAACATAGTGATACCATGTTATTAAAGTAGTTTCACATGTATCCTTTTCTGCTGTATTTACCATATTCATTAGGTGTTGTACAAATCTTTATTAAATGATATGATATAAGCAGTGACTTATATTAATTTTGTTCTCAATTTAGAATAAGACACAAGGGAATAGAAAATCATTCCTATAGCCAATAGAGCTTTAAGCAAAGAAACTCAAAGGATATTCAGAATAAATACAATTTCTCATCTGGTCTAAGACAGTCCCTAAACATGTACTCATAATAAAATACTTTGTTATGAATCGTATTATAGTTAGAAAATATAAAATGCATTAGTTATTCAAAATATACACATCAGATGATTTTTTTTCTCATAATTTCAGTTTAAAAAATCTAAAAAGAAATAATTTTAACCAAAGATGAAATAGTTATGTGTTTAGTTATCAAGGAAACATCCTGATTTAGAGCTGACTAGTTGCTAAGTGTGATAATCCTCTCAAAAAAATCTCCCACTGAACTCCCAATAGCAAATTAAGCATTTGTTTATAAAAAGATAAGTGTTTTAACTGGAAAATAATACATTGTTTTAGTATATTTTAGCAACTTTAATATGATCAGATTTTAAACCAAAGAATTTTAAGGAATAAATGGAGGTCTTATCTACACATATTATGATTAATATTTTTTTAATTATATGATATAAAATCTGAAACATCTTTCAAGACAGATGAGGAATCTGCTCTAAATTCTTTATATTAGTTAAATTGGCAATGTAAAGCATTTTAAATGGATATCTGAAAAGGAGGGAGTGGTGACTAATAGAAGCGACACTTGCAGAAATCATTATAGCATGTAGCATCATAAAAGATGTCTGTTGTAAAGTGGTTAGAAAAAAAGATGCATGGAACATTTTCCTAAAACCAATAATAACAAAAATAGATATATGTCATTTTCTGATGGTCAGACAGATATGGTGTTTCCATTTTAATGCTGATGCCAGTACAGCAATCCATTTTTTATCACTCTCAAATCAAACCACTGAAAAGAGTTCTGTATGTAATTGCCCCTCAAATGATGGAAAATGTACAGCTATTACAAAATGTAATTGCAAATTTGTTGAGTAGCTTTTCTTCCTACAAACATATTACAAGTATGTTTTCTGTACTGCACTAGCAATCAACTGATTTCCAGATGAAACTTCAATGTTGGTTTTAACTTGGAAAAAGTTGAGGATAACTGACTGACTGATCACCCAGTTCTCTGGCAGCGATTCAGTAGGTGCACTTTAATAAGATTCCATAGAGTTAGTGTTCAAGGTACTAAATAAAATGGTTTCATATAATGAAAATAAAATGGAATAATTAAAATTCCATTTCTCAATATGTAAAAATCTAAATCTGTTTTCCAATAATCTATGTTTAAAGCTGTGTCTATACTCTCGATTCTTACCAAGATAAATCAGAATGTTTATGGATATCTTGTGCAACCAAAAGGTATTATCTCTAGCCCAAAGATCCTAAAAGAGGCAACCATGTCAGAGCACCATTTTCATTTTAAAAACTATCAAAGGGTCCACAATTTGACCAGCATATATTTAGGAAAAACTAAAAATAAAAACTTTAAAAATATATTTTAAAGGATTTGGTTTCCTAATCAGAGAAAAATGTTTCCCCAAAACTTGAACTAAATGTTTTTGTGAGCCAGACATGGTCGGGAACCATCAGCAATAAATAAATCAAGATATTGTGCTCCCTTCCTTGAATCATAACATATGCATTATGGGATATACATCTCAGAAAATTCTTAGATGGCTCATTAATTCCCTGATCCATTTCTTCATGCACTACTGATACTAAGGTGACCTTTCACAAATCAAGCTATACATACAGCAGAGAGCCATTCCTTATTTCTACTGGAGAAATTTCATTTTTAGGGAAACATTACTAGCTGAAGAAATAAGCTTTCAGCTGCTTTCATGTCTTAGACTCAATAAGGGATAAGGATAGGGTATTTATCCCATGAGTGAACACCCTGAAGCAGTTATACGTGGTTGGCTTAAAGGAGATCTAAGAATCTCTGTTTGACAGACTGGCCACTTTCCAAATGAGAAATCAATGACTCTGTATTCTGAGTAAAGAAAAGCCAGGATGGTTTATGACTTGTTCTACATATTCTGTGGATCCAGCCAAGCCCTGAATTACACACAGTTGAAGACAGTAAGAGCAACGTCCTATAGCCAGTGAGACTTTCACCAGCATAAGGTACATTCTGGCAGGACCCTGACAGACAGTGGCTTGCTAGGTTTTGGAATTCAGCCTGTAGATAAACAAATATATGCACCACGAAAAAGAGAAGAAAACAATGGGGTGTTTCTGTGCCTAGGATAGGCAGCTTGCTAGATGCAGGTTAGTTTTGTTTCTGTCAAAGAGACTTGCAGAAAACATGCAATGGATAAAAGGTAATTCTGCCTGCAGGACTAACACACATCTTCACAATACCTGTAGTATTCTGAACAAACTAAGATTCTATTTAACTGTCAAAAGCAATGCCTTAATTATTGTTAAAAATAAAAACAAAACAAAACAAACAAAAAAAAAAACCCAAACAAACTCCAAATTAACCTCCCTGGAAAACAAAAAAATCAGGTGTGGAGGCTTTTCACTATTTGATATGTCATTGCTACAGTCACACAGGAGCAGACAGAAAGGCAACATATTCTGAGGGACTGATCATGATGATCAAACAGAAGAAAAACCAAACAAACAAAAAGAGGTTAATGAAAGTGTTAAATTATAACAACGAACTCAACCAACCAGACATAGAACTTAGTCATATTTTCCCAGCATTTTGTCACATTGTTGACAGCAACATGAAAAAAATTGTTTGCCTATATTATTCATGCTCTTAACAAAGACACATTTATAAAACAAAACCAAACCAAACCCAACCCTTTACATTCTTCAGATTTTTTTTCTCCACTTCTATACTCAAGCACTGTTTTGATCTTTCATGTTGGGCTAACGGTCTTTGAGAACTTAGACCCTCATTTATAATGCTTTTGGTGAATTCACACCAGTGTACTAAACCAAACTATCCTTTATCCTGCTTCATGTTTCCATGAGCAAATAACAGCCTGTAGGGATTCAGCACATCAGCTGCTTAAAAGATAAACCTACCCAGCTTGATGAAAACTCTTCACCACCTTCCTGTTGAGAGAAAACAGTTACACATTTCTAATAAATGAAGCAGGAACTGTCATTTTTTTGGCAAACTGATAACTATCTGTAACAGCCACATTGCCCCAAGTTGCTTTTCCAAAGTAATTACCATCAGGCTCCCTGTGGTATGCAGTGTTTAACACATTTCTTCTGTGTTAATGAATGCAAAAGCAGGCAACACCACTATTAGTAATTGCTTTTTATTCGTAGTCCTCATTTTCCAGATAGGTCACATTAAACACAGCCATTAAACAATAGCGGTTGAGATAATCCATACAATGTATGCTGCTTTTGTTTGGTTTTTGTGTCATTCACCAGTCACTGGTGCAACTTTGAGCCATATGGGGAGACAGGGGCTGATAAATGTGAATGCCAACCTGTATCACAATTGGGCCAGAGAAGTCAAAACCTTAATCAGGTTTCATTCAATTACACTTCAAATCAACAAATCTCGATAGCCAAAACTCCCGTTTGAATTAATGCAATAATAATCACTGCTTGATGTCAAAAGAAAGTAATTAAACAATAATGAGTGCACATATCTTATGCTAGGTTTCAGACTCCTTCTTGATCTCAGCAATTTCCCTTCTGTGGGACGGCAAGCAAGTTGAAAGTTTGTTTGAATGAGGCATCTTGCTCCGCTTATGAGCAATGTTTGACTTCCAGGGGTAACTGGGACTGGGAAACCTATATTCTCAAGTAGCAAATCACAGTTCAGGAGAATCTCTTTCCTGATAAATATGAAAAGAAAAAAAAAAAAAGAAAAAGAAAAAAAACAAAAACAAAACCAAAAACAAAACAAACAAAAAAAAATCCCAACCAACCAAACCACCCCAAACACACAAACAAAAACCCAACCAGAAAAAAAAGGTCTTATTTTAAGTCCTGATTTGATTGGCCAATTGTTTAAGGAACTCCCAGTTTCTGGCTTTCATTAATTAAAAAAAAAAAAAAAAAAGTAATCATGCAGCAGATATTTTCTGTCAGTCTTATAAAACATGTATGTAAGGAATGAGAGAAATAATAATTCATAAACTTTATCTTTCATTGCTGCCTCTTTCTCCAGTGGTGACAGTAGAGCTACCATGGAGAAAAAATACTTTTAAAATTATTTTGTGTGTAGTACTTCCTTCACACACAGTCATGTTAATTTTGACTGAACCAGCAAAACTCACATTCTGTAAGTTCTGCTGGTTTATTGGTTCATTATGTATCTATTCTAAACTATGAAACAGATTTTCTATCCTGGGATATCCTTATTGGAAGCAGTATGCCAGAGATCTACAACACAAGGCAGTTGTCAGCCAAATTAAATAAAAGCAAGATTTCCTAAACTCTTCTATAAAGCTGTGAGTCATGAATTCTGAATTACCTCAGAGTGGTAAATAAATAATCACTACTAAATACAGATAATGTGTTAAACAGCTAAAGCTAGTAAATCACTAGTGACAGAGAGCCTTAAGGTAAATTCCTCTTACATTGGCACAGCCCTTTCTCAGAATGTTGTGGTTTTATGTCTTCAGAAACATACAATGAATTGTACAATTGGTTACTCAGTGTTAAAATCATTTATAAAATACACAAATCTCCATCACTTGACTGCATTTACATACTGGCTTAGATTCTGCTGAATAATGGATCTCACTGGCAGAGCTAAAGACTTGGTGCACAGACACTGAGGTGATGGGCACCACGGAAATACGTATAAGAGACTGATCAAACAATAAGAAATCCTCTCCACTATGGAATTTCAAGCTATCAAGCTATCAAGCAAAACCAATCTCGGGTCTCCTGGCCAAAAAAAAATTAAAATTAGATAACACAGACAACACCACATTTTAGATACATAAATTGTCCAAAACATGGAGAGTAGCTTGATAAAACATGTACAAGATCCTTTTTTTTTTTTTTTTTTTTTTTTTTTTTTTTTTTTTTACATGTAATTGTAGCATTTTTAAACAGAAGGAGCTAAAAGCAAACTGTCAGAATGGTTGTCTCCCAAAGACAATTCATTGTAGGACTGACTAGCTAAAATCAGCATTTAACAGCAGCCCCAACATCAAAACAGGATGTTGGGTCAATTTTCTTTCTTGAATTGGTGAAAACTATTGCTCTGTGGGATTTGGGATTACAAAACTCTTTTTTATATGTTTGTATATTGCAGATTAAATTTAATAAACCCAATACATTATTTTAAACAATACACCGTAGTGGTATTTCCAACAGAGTATCTGAAGTATGCAAGGGGCAAATCCTTAGTTACACATTTTATTCTTCTGCTTCTTCTTGTTCTGTGCAAATTTATTTTGAAAGTGAGTTGCTTTGTAATTTTCATCTGAAGGCAATTTTGAATTTTTCAAGTGCAATAAAAACACCCCTAGATAAAATAATTAAAAGTAGAAACTATATCCTACGTTATTCTGCAAATACTTTTCAGAACCAATGAAAATCAAACTAAATCCACTCCCAAAATAAGCAGTGTGTATCTAGAACTGCAGTAAGCAATTGCACATTCTAGAGAATCAGATAAAATAAAGCCCGTGACACATTGGCACTGACATGTTTGGCAGCTCTATGAACTTAACAACAAAACTTTGAAAATGGTGGCATCTTTTAAGAAGTCAATCAACTATCCTGCATTAAACAGGCTAGCTGCATGTGTTTGGGGAAAAACCAAAACCAAAACCAAACCAAAAACAACACCGAGGTTTCAGATGTTGGTTCGAGTGTAATTTTTGTTATTAAACATGGGTTTGCAATAGAAGCTTCTACAAGGACTTGCACATAACCATGACTGATGGATGTATTTGTAGGCCGTTCAGTTAGCTCCATCAGCTCACTCAAACACATTTTGAACAGATTATGTACTGCAGTACTTCGTAGACCATACATTAAACAAGAGACTTTGCTCTGAGGCACTGCTTCCCACAATCCATGGGGAAAAGGAAGCAGGAAAAAACAAAACTCATAGAGTTCGACAGCTACTGAGGCAACACTTGCCATTTACAATATAAGCCCAAATATTTTTGCAACACAACTATATATTAATTTAATAAAATACACAATATAGCTCTTATACACTCAACAATTTGGCTCATATGCACTGAATCTGCAATAAATCAATAAAAATATGTCATTTGATGTAAACACACTGAATCTTCTTACATTTGCACATTTAAATGATCATGTGACTTTGTGGATGTCTAAGACATTTTCACTTTCCTGAGCTATTTTAGTGTCCACAAATGAATAAAAAAAGTGTTAATAATGTTAATTTCTCTTGTGTATTACCCTTAAAGGTAAGTATTTCTTTTCAAACTTTATTTTGCTTCACTTCTTTTAAAACTTACTGCTAAGTATTTATGTTTTTGTTGGACACTAAAATGCTAAATAGATATTAAAATCTTTTTCTTCTTTTTAATCAAGTGAATTAGCTTATGTGTGTGCAGGACAAGATGGACTATATCATTTTACATTTAACCTTAATATGATATGAAGTGTTTTACTAATGATCAGGATATGTTTTGTTGAATAATGATCTGGAATGGGTTTTTTGTTTTCTTGTTCTTATTTTTTTTTTTTCATATTTGTGGCAGATAACTTTGTACATAAATGTTTACCACAAATGAATGTTAATGTTTGGCGTCGCTTGGACTACTACAAGAACTCTTTTTAGGACTTTCAGTAGAAGCCTGTGGTGACTGCTGGAAATCCACCACAGATCAGAATTATTCAACCCTGTTTTTCTTGGGGTTTATACGTAAACAGTAAAGTCAGCATCAGCTATTGAGGACAGTCTTAAAGTATCAGACGTATTTCCATTCCACATTTCTCACACTTTCCTATCAGATTGTCAAAATGGCACCATCTTTCCTTCTTTCGTTTTGTTCTTAATGTACTTGACTCTGTCCTAATGAAAGTTTGGTCAAAATGAAACCAGTGTTATCTGTCAAAAAGAAAGAGCAGTGAAAAGAACATACTTGTGGGCACTTCAGATGTTCACTAAAAGCCTTAAAGCAGCATTTGTCTTCCTTCATTCCTTTAAATGTGTTACAACTGGGGGATTGATTTATTTATTTACTTTTAATCAGCAGAAGAGGAACATTACTGCCAGCCTGTCCTTATTTTCCCCCTCACTTTCTGATGGCCACAGGGTCACTTCCCCGACAGTCCTGCAAGAGCTTGTCTATTTCTCTCACAACTTCCTCGGCATCCACCGACTCCCTGCCTAGATCCCGGGCTGAACGGTCTAACTGCTCCAGAACAGAGTCCATCTCGCTCGAGTCTCGGCTCACTCGGGAATGCACATCTGCAAAGGCCCTAGCCATCTGATCTGATGCAATGAAGGGAGCGTCTTTTGACTGTTTACTAGGCGATAGATACTGACTGTCAGTTGACAAGTACTGGCTGCTTGGTTCAGCCAAGGCTCCTGATTTCACTTCACAACCATCCAGTGGTCCTTTTGTTGAGGTGCAAGGCTCAATGCATGTCTTGGTTGGGCTGCTCGATGCTGAGGGAACCTCCTGAAGCAGAGGACTCAGGGCACGTTTGGCTTTTAAGTAAGGTTTAACATTGGCAATGAGAATAGTGTGCTCTCTCTTGTCTTTCCCAAATGTACAAAAAGTCTTTTTCCCAGTGGGATTCACAGTTTCATATGTCTCAGTCTCAACATTAGCTTCAACTGTGGGTACAAAGAGATTTGTGCGATAATCTGCATTCTCAGCCTGACTGGCTGCAGGGAACTGTGGCATCCAACACCTGTCAGAATGACCAAGCACTCTGCATTCATCTGTGCAGTTAACACATTCTTCTTGCTCTGTAAAACAAAGGAGAGAGAGAAAAAACTAATTATAAGTGGATTTCTTTAAACTAATGGATAGGCTATGATCAACACATGATGGGCTTACTTGACATCTGGTTTCTTAATTATGGAGAAAAAGAAGAAGCTATAATTAAAATATTTCAGAAGGATTGCATAAACCTGTTAGTTGAGACAATAGATTTATTTAACTCTGTTCTCTATGTATTAAAGCATTCACACAACCCAATGGAAGTATAAAGGGGTCATTAGAGAATCATTCTCAGTGGAATTGAGCTCCATCTGTAAACTAATCTGCTGTAGAAATCTGTTAGTCTTTGTTCTGTAAAACTCATCCTAGAAAAGAGTGAACAGTACTTAAGGAACTCAAAAGGCATTATCAGGATTAATTTTTCAAATCAAATAACTGAGCAATGACTGTCTTTCTGGAAATACAAACACTTCATAAAAATCAGCAAGCTGGCTTTTCATTTTTGTCACCTCCATTTCATTTATAATTGTTATGTTGTGTGACAGTCACAAAATAAAAAGATTTCCTTAAAAACCCTACTTTTCCTGCTGATAACAGAGAACTAGAATTTTCCATCACTATGCATTAAATATAAGCTTGTCAAAAAGCGCATATTGCAATTTTATTAGACATGAGTATGGATCATGTAATCAGTTTTTCTCTTTTTTGTTTTGATGCAAGTAAGTGAAAATGGATTTGCTCAATACATACGACTTGGAAGAATGACAAACCGTGACACGTTATTTGAACTGATGGTGTTTTCAGGTAGGATTTCTATATTCTTATTTCTTTAAAGGATATGGTTTAATAAGATACTTTTATTCACATTTTTAGAACATAAATTTTGATATTTCCTGTTCCACAATTCAAAGAAAAATTTCCACTTCAAAAACCTTCTCTTATCTGTCATTTTACACTAATAGAATATGTTTGGGCCACCATTTACCATATTATAATTGTACAGATGACTCTAACCCAACATCAGTAAAGAAAATTCCAGAAATACTGCTTAAATTTTTTAGAAAAAAAACAGCTCTGATCCAATTTGCTTTCTTTTTCTTCTTCTCAGTATTCTTTAGTCAATACTGATAGAATCAATCCTTTTATCATGTCTAGGTTTCAATCAGCTATACACTCGTCTTTAGCTATTAAGCATTTTCTTCTACCAAAATGGGAAGACAGGTTCAAATATTAATTTTACTCGAGGAATTTAGTATTTACAAAATGGAATTATAGTTAGAAAAAATCTCTGAGTATAACTTTAAATGTAAGAATGTAACAAGAATAAAACACACACAGAGAAACTTGCACTACAGGTCTTCAGAAAAGCATAACAAACTTGTTGACATAAAGACAGGGAAAATTTAAGTGATCATCACCTTTCTAAAATAGAAAATAAAATCCTAATAATCTTATAATATCACCACCAGATTCATGGACAGTGGCACTGCAGAGATATGAGACAAACACCAAAGGTTATCTGTGAGAATCCAATAACGTAAAGAGCTTTAAATGTCCACATTTCTAAAAAGACATGAATAAATGTGACTTAAATTTATATAAAATTGTCTTATATCACAATGATCAGTTAAATCGGGGTGAGAGAATTTACAGAACTGATACTTGCTAATGATAGTTCTGTGAAAAAGTGTCATGCTGTATAGATGTTCCCTTTCTTAAAAAGTTTAAAATCTAAGGCTGGTGTAAACCCTAAAAAAAATATCACTAGCAAGAGAGAATGAGGTACAGGGAGAAGATAACAGAGAGTGATTTTTGAGGAAAAGAATGTAACAGAAAAGCTTTAATATTCACAGAGGTGATTCACAGCCTCACCTTTGTGCCTGTTAAGATCATAGAACAGATCTTCCTGAAAGGTATATCAAAACATATGGAAGACAGGGAAGTGATTAGAGACAGATGCTATGGATTCACCAAGGGCAGATTGTGTCTGACTAATCTAGTGGCAGGATACAGTCTCTTTAGGAAGGACAGGCAGGGGAGATGAGGAGGGGGTGTCGTCCTCTGTGTCAGTGACCAGCTGGAGTGCATGGAGCTCTGCCTGGGGATGGATGAGGATCCAATTGGCTCAGGATTCAAGGGAGGGCAGGGACAGGTGACATTATAGTGGGGATATGATACAGGCCACCCAAACAAGGAAGACCGAGCAGTTGAGGCCCTCTACAGACAGATAGGAGCAGCCTTACGTTCACAGGTCCTGGTCCTCACTCACTATTGGGGGGACTTCAATCACCCCAATATCTGTTGGAGGGACAACACAGCAGAGTAGGAGCAATCCAGGAGGTTCCTGGAATGTGTTGATAATAACTTCCTTCTCCAAGTGACAGAGGAGCCAATGAAAAGAGTTGCAATGCTGCACCCTGTTCTCACCAACAAGGAGGGGCTGGTGGGGAGTGTGAAGCTCAAGGGTGGCCTTGTTTACACCAACTGTGAAATGGTAGAGTTCAACATCCTTAGGGTGGTGAGGAGGGCACACAGCAAACTCTCTACCCAGTATTCAGGAGAGCAGACTTTGGCCTCTTCAGGGATCTGCTTGGCAGAGTAACATGGGATAAAGCTCTGGAGGGAAGAGGGGCCCAAGAAATCTGGTTAATATTCAATGATCACCTCCTCCAAACTCAGAAGTGATGCATCCCAACAAAGAGGAAGTTGGGTAAGAATACCGGGAGGCCTGCATGAATGAACAAAGAGATCCTGGACAGACTCAAACACAAAAATGAAGCCTACAGAGGGTGGAAGCAAGGACAGGTAGCCTGGGAGGAATAACAGAGAAATTGTCCAAGCAACCATGGATCAGGTTAGGGGGACATGGAGAAGGCTGAGGTACTCAATGACTTTGTTGACTCAGTCTTCACTAGCAAGTGCTCCAGTCACACTGCCCAAGTTGCAGAAGACAAAGGCAAGGATTGGGAGAATGAAGAACCTCCCACTGTAGGAGAAGATCCAGTTTGAGACCATCTAAGGAACCTGAAGATGCAGAAGTCCATGGGACCTGGTGAAATGCATCTGTGGGTCCTGAAGGTACTGGCAGCTTAAGTGGCTAAGCCACTATACATCATATTAGAGAAGTTTTCGTAGTCAGATGAAGTTCTTGCTGGCTGGAAAAAGGGAAACATAACTCCTGTTTTTAAAAAAGGAAAAAAGAAGGACATGGGAAACTACAAGCCAGTCAGTCTCCCCTCTGTGCCTGGCAGGATTATGGAGCAGATCCTCCTGAAAACTGTGCTAGGGCATATGGAAAATAAGGAGGTGATTGGTGATATCCAGCATGGCTTCACTAGGGCAAATTACATCTGACAAATTTGGTGGTCTTCTACAACAGTCTCACAGCGTTGTTGGATAAGGGAAGAGCAATTGTCATCATCTACCAGTACTTGTGCAAAGCACTTGACACTGTTCCACATGACATCCTTGTCTCTAAATTGGAGAGACATGGATTTGATGGATGGACCACTTGATGGATAAGGAATTGTCTGGGTGATCATACTCAAAGAGCAGCTGAATGGCCAAGTGGAGACCAGTGACTAGTGGTGTTCCTCAGGGGTCAGTATTGGGATCAGAGCTCTTTAACATCTTTGTCAGTGACACGGACAGTGGGATTAAGTGCACCGTAGCAAGTTTGCTGATGACACCAAGCTGTGTGGTGTGGTTGACATCCAGATGGTTGACATGTGGATGCCATCCAAAAGGACCTGGACAAGCTTGAAAGGTGGGTTCATGCAAACCTCATAAAGTTCAGCAAGGTCCTGCACATGGATTGAGGCAATCCCAAACACAAATACACTCTAGGAGATGAGTGGATTGAGAGCAGCCCTGTGGAGAAGGACTTGGGGGTATTAGTGGCTAGAAAAATTACAATGATCCAGCAATGTGCACTCGCAGTCCAGAAAGCCAACTGCATCAAGAGAAACATGGTCAGCAGGTCAAGGGAGGTGATTCTCCCCCTCTACCTCAATCTCATGAGACCCCACCTGCAGTGCTGTGTCCAGCTCTGGCAACCAAACATAAGACATGGACCTGATTGAGTCCAGATGAGGGCAATGAAGATGATCACAGAACTGGAGCACCTCCTCTGTGAGAACAGACTGAGAGTCAGATTTGTTCAGTCTGGAGAAGACAAGGCTCCAGGGAGACCTTATAGCATCCTTCCAATACTTAAAGGGGGCCTACAGGAAAGATGGGGAGGGAGTCTATCAAGGATTGTAATGATAGGACGTGATGGTTTTAAACTGAAATAAGGTAGATTTGGATTAGATATAAGGAAGAAATTCTTTACTATGAGGGTGGTGAGACACTGGCACAGGTTGCCCAGATAAATTGTGGATGTTCCTTCCCTGGCAGTGTTCAAGGCCAGGTAGGACGGGGCTTTGAGCAACTTGGTCTAGTGGAAGGTGTCCTTGCCCATGGTATGAGGGGGTTGAACTAGGTGATCTTTAAGGTCCCTTCCAACCCAAACAATTCTATGATTCTAAGATTCTATGATTCTATGCAATTCAGAGGGCCCTTGACAGGATTGAGGAGTGAGTCCATGTGCACCTCATGAAGTTCAACAAGTCCAAGTGCAAGGTCGTTCACCTGCATCAAGGAAATCACCAGTATCGATAAATCTGGGGGATTAATGGATTGAGAGCAGCCTGGTGAAGAAGGACTTGGAGATACTAGTGGATGAAAAACTGGACATGAGATAGTAAAGTGCACTCGCAGCCCAGATAGCCAATTGTATCCTGGGCTGCATAAACTGAAAGAAGGTAAATATAGATTGTACATGAAGAGGAAACTTTAATATGAGTGTGGTGAAACAGTGGAAGAGCTTTCCCAGAGAAGCTGTGGATGCCCCATCATTGGAAGATTTCAGTCAGGTTGAAGGGGCTTTGAGGAACCTGATCTAATGAAAGATGTCCTAGCCATGGCATGGAGATTGAACTAGATGATCTTTCAAGGTTGCTTCCAACGGAAACCATCCTATGAT